TTGCTGCCCCTGTTAATTACTTTCCTGGTTGTCCTGACCCGGAAAGACAAACTTCCAAAGGGGCTCACAGTTCTGGTGTTCAGTCCATTGAGGCGGAGAACACGGCTCATAAGAAGCAAATGGATCTTAGTGGCTTCTGCAGTGTAAGCTGTGGCCATCCATGCCTCGATACTGTCCCTGGAGCACAGACCTGACTCCTTCTGGCCAAAGGTCTTGTAGGTTCTTATCCGGTCTCATGACCGAGAAGGTACAAAGGGAAGCGGAAACATCTTCTTGTCCCTTCTGAAGACATTTGTTAAGCAAATAACTGAATAATGATGGTGGAGAAAGAAGAAGAAAAAGAGAGAGGCGGGGAGGAAAGAGAGAGAGAGAGAGAGAGAGAGAGAGAGAGAGAGAGAGAGAGAGAGAGAGGGAGAGAGAGAGAGAGAGGCAAGGAGGTGGAGAAGAGGGGAGATAGACCTGTAGGAGCAAACACGGTCCCTCACATTCATGGCTTAGCTGCCACACGCCTCAGCCTCCTCAGAGGCAGCTGGGGGGTGATGCTGACCCACTTCCTATGAGGGCAGCTTTGAGGACTGAAACTCTCAGAGCCCTTAGGATGAGAGTCCCGCTCTTGTCTCCGGTATCCAGTCCATCAGAGAACCCTTTGGCCTCATCCACCTCCAAAGCATCCCCAGCTACCCCTGTTCACCACATCTGTGGTCTGAAACGCCCTTCTGTGTGTCAAACGAGGGGTCCTGATTCGATGCTTGACCTGTGTCTGTCTGTCTGCTGGCTCTTCAGCACCGGCCGGCGTGTGGGACTTTTCTATGAGAAGTTAGTGTCTTCACCACGACACATCAGGCTGTGACTGAACACACAGTCCCTTTGTCCCCACCCTTAATCCCTTCCCATGCTCCCAACCCTCTGTGATGGCCTCCTGCAACTTCTCAAAGACCCTAAACGCGTCCTCTGTAGGCATCCCCAACAGTTGTCCCCCTCTGCCCCCAGCTATGATGGCAGTGACTTCTGTTGTTAAAATGCCTCCCCTTGGGGAGAAGTAAACACTCCCCACCCACCCACTCCTTCTATTCTGCTACTGACCACCAAGAGTGATTGCACTGAGGTTCGTTTTGAGGAACCCAAGGGTTTACTAGGCTCTCTTACAGAGCAATGGGATCAGGGTCACATCCAGGACACAGGGGAGGCTGGCACGTGGCATGCCTTATGACACTCCAATGCCTGTGTAGATGTGGTCCTCTCCCCTAATCCTTTCCCAATCCTACACCCTCCAGCCTTTCCCCGAGACCCAGGGGCCATGTGTAATTAGGGCAGAACTGCACACAACTGGTTGGGAGGGGTGGCTGGATAGTCAGGTGCGGTCCATGAGCCTCACCACGCCCTCCATCGGGAGGGACCATTAACAGTCAAGGAGCAGAGCTGTTGTTGTGAACGGGCCCAGACGGACTCCTGAGGACGCTTTCGGTGCCTTGGCTCAGATGATAGTACTGCATGACAGCTTCCCCCCCCCCCCATGAGGGTGGCTTATAAGCTTTCTGTCCTTTCATGTCTCCATTCAGGCTGGTCTTAACTCTCCAGTACCTGGTGATATCCAGAGATAACCTGAACTCCTGACACCCCCCAGCCTCCACCTCCAAGCGCTGGGATTACAGGCATGAGCCACAGTTTGTGGTTTTACTGTGAAGGGGGATCCAACCTGTTAGATCACAAGACCCCCAATCGCGGCGCTCTCCCCCCCCACAAACCATCCGCACTCCTGCAGCCTCTCATTAGTCAAGGCAATGATGAGCACCTCTGTGGCCCTGCTGCTCTCTCCCTCATAGTTGCAAGACCAGCCTGCAGGGCATAGCCACAGGTGCATATGGGGCGTATCCCTATCCCGTGTATGGTAACCTTCATCTCAGGGATAGGGATGTCATCGGTTATTGGGGAGAAATCATTTACACGAGAAACCGATAACCCAGGGTCAGCGTTCCGAGCATCCAGACTGTGCTTCCCTCCGAGACCCGACTGGAACCCCAAGAGAGACAAGAGAGCTCACCTCTCTCTCCCCAGGCCTATATCCCACAAGCCCAGATGCAACCGTGGCCACGCCCAAACGGGCGTGGTCAGCGCCACAGGTACCTAGTGAGATCTCTTCCCTACACCACCAGCCTCTCCCAGCCCCCCCCCGGGCCCAAGATGAGCTTGAGTTACAACTCTGCTTTTCTTTAGTGTCTTTGGGCCTGACGACTCCTAGTACGCGGCTAAGTCACGTGGGGTTGAACCATCCCTTTGCCCTTTGGAACTGCGGGCGGGGTCCCTTTAGGACGCCCGGTCGGGAGGCTCCAGCTACCCCAGCAAAGCTCCCCTTCTACCCACCGGTGGCATCTTTATTATTCATACAGAACCTAGGGTTTCGAACTCAGGAGGCGCACACCCCTACCAGCTGAGCTCTAGGCCTGCTGATGCCTTTAAATCCTCAGCACCCTCTCCCCCGCCCACCGGCTTGGATCCTTTAATCCTTTGATGTGCCCCGAGGGTCTAGGCCGGGTTGGCTCGGGGTGGGTATAATCTGTAAGCAACAGCTGAACAAACTGAACCAAGAATGACCTCAACTGGTTTCCTCACAGCAGCCGGAGGGACCCTCGCTCTGTTTTTACCCACGGCGGCGGCGGCGCTGTCTCTGCAGTCTGTGCGCGGGCACAGAGCAAAGGAGGGATCAGATTTACAATTCTTGCTCCCTGCCACAGCCTGCTGTTCTTTTGCTTAAGTTAAAATCAGAAAGGGCGCGAGATGGAACCGGGACCGGGGAGAACGCATTGAGCATCGTTTATTACAGCAGCAGGAGAGCAAGAGGGGGGGAGAGACACGAGAGGGGGAGAGATGAGAGAGAGAGAGGACGAGGGGGAGAGGGGGAGGAAAAAGGGGGAGGGGGAGGGGAGGGAGAGGGAGAGGGAGGGGTAGAGAGAACAAGGGAGGAACCGCGTGGAGGTGCTCACTTAAAAGGGGAAACTGAGTCCTTACATAGCCCCATGACCTAGCGATGCCGTGGCCACATCACCACGCCTGCACAGCCTGTTGTCAGGGGGCGGGGTCAGCATAATGCTGGAGTGCCAACAACTGCCAGCCTTGAGTGCTTACGGCTACGTGTGTGTGTGCCCGCATGTGCGTCTCTGTGTATGTGTGTGTGTCTCTGTGTGTATGTATGTGTGTGTGTCTCTGTGTGTGCGTGTGCGTGCACGCGTGTGTACGTGTGTGTATGTGTGTGCGTGTCTCTGTGTGTATGTATGTGTGTCTCTGTGTATGCGTGTGCGCGTGCACGCGCGCGTGCGCTGTTTCCCGGATTCTACAGCACTTCCACAGCCTCCTAGAGCATCAAACCCAACAGACAAGATATCCTCAGATTGGTTGTGTTTTGGTCAGAATACGCCACACTCACTTGGAGAAGCCGCCTCCACGCTCTACGTGTGTCCGATGGCCCCAGCTTTGCTCCAGGGTGGATGGCCTCTGCTGTACAAACTTTTCATTTTCGTGAGCTCTTTGGGGACAGTGAACAGTCGGACTCTCTCTCTTCCTCCCTCCTCACCCACCCCTCTGTTTACTCCATTCCACTGTCTCTTGGAGCCTGCGCGGTTCTTAGTAACTAATTATTGAATGCACGTGGGTTGTGATTTTTTACACGGTATGGGGCCTATCCTGAATTCTGCCTGGGTTTATAAACTGTACCAAGAGCCCAAGAAAACTTCTCGTGGCTTACTGAAGTTTCAAGTTTGGGCCACTGATGGCCAGTTATATTGGAGCTAAAGTTGAGGCTGAATGGTAGGGGTTGCTGAATTTGGGAGTCATTTCTCCTCAGGCATCCGATGGCAGAGAGGCAGGAAGAGCTCTGTGAGTTCGAGGCCAGACTGGTCTATTTAGTGAATTCCAGACTACCCAAGGCTATATAGCCAGACCCTGGATCAAAATAACAAAAACAAAAAACCCCCCCAAACCCAAAAAACAAACAAACAAAAAGACCCAGACGAACCAACCAACCGAACAAACAAACAAAACCAAATTGGGCGGTGGCCCTGCATGCCTTTAATCCCAGCACTTGGGAGACCGAGGCAGGAGAATCTACAAGTTCAAAGCCAGCCTGGTCTACAGCACTATCCAGGACAGCCAGGGATACACGGAGAAACCCTGTCTCAAAAAACAAAACAAAACAAAACAAAAAACAAAACAAAACAAAAAAACAAAAGCCAAAACAAAGTAAAACGAAAAACAGCAAGTCACATTTGCTCACAAGCAGAATGTGGGGAAGAGACTGTTGGCTCCCTCTGCTGGTCATTGCGCAGTCCGTCAGCCCAGGTTCTTTCTGAGCTACCTGGCCTTTCTGTGAGCATGGAGACCAGGAGACCCTAAGCGTTGGGAACAGGGAGGAAGAACGCTGGCTGGGCTCTGGGCTCAGTGCTAAGGGTGGCCTAACCCCCACACCCCACCCCACCCCACCCCACCCCACCCCGCAGCACACAGGCCTGGCTTGGGTTCCCACTATGCAGACAGCTTTTAGGGTAACCTTGTTCCTCTGAGGACACTCAGCCCTAGGAAGTGGGGGGGGTTCTTTGTTCCAGGGCACCGGGATAGTGGCCCCCCCACACTCAACTCCTGTTCCGTTTGAGCCTTCAATCCACGGGGCCAAGAAGTCTCTCATTTAGACGAGCCAGACGTTAAACCAAATGAAAACTCACGTGGCTCAAGAAGAGGATATTCAGCAATTCAAGAAAAACACAACGAGATACACATATGTGCACATAGAAAGATGTTCGTGGTAAAAGACCCCCCCTCTCCCCGGGAAAAACCAGACCAGGAAGAAATAAACTGGTATTTCATGTCCCTGGGGTTTCCCCTGTGTGGATACTGATTTTGCTAATGTGTTTACTAACTTCTGAAGACATCTCAATGAGCATGTATTCAATGGTATAACCAGATAGCACAGTAAGGTTTCTCACCCTTCCCAAAGACACACAAACACACTCTTAAGAACAAGAGTTTATTTCACAGCAGTGACACTTCAAAGCTCACCACTGGCCCTCCCTTGATGGTCTTTCTGAGTTACACATAATTTAAAAAGGTAAGGCAAAGAAAACTAGAAAAACAAAAAAACCTAAGGTAAAGTTATCAGCTTAAACTGGCTGATACTCTCTATATACTATTTAAAAAAGCCCTCTGTAAATTCAACATTGTTTTCATAAAAGCATTAGAAAAAAAAAACAGTACAGTTACCTTTTCAAAATTAAGTTAGTCTGAACTAAGTTCACTTCTGTGACAGAAATACAAGACATGGCCCAGTGTATTTTTTTTTAAAGTGTGTGCTTTGAACAAAACTGGGCAGTGGTGGGCTACACCTTTAATCCCAGCATTTGGGAGGCAGAGGCAGGCGGATCTCTGAGTTCAAGGACAGCCTGGTCAACAGAGTGAGTTTCAGGACAGCCAGGGCTACACAGAGAAACTCTGTCCTGAACCCTCTACCGGCCCCCCCAAAAATGAAAGATTAAAAGGCTCCTGGTAGAATTCCAGATTCCATAGCTGGAGTTTAGAAAACAGCTTAGTTATCATTTGTTCACGATTCTGAAGTCTTCTCCATCAAGGCTGTGCAACCGAGCGTCCTGACCCTGGGGTCAGAGGTCGGGGTCCCTGCTGGAGTGGGTGGGTCTCCCCTCGCCTCCTGGCCCTCACATGTTAGTCTGGGAGACAGGCTCCAGGGTGGCATACGGGTTGTCCTTCCCCGTGACCTTTTTCTTCTCCTCCTCATCGAACTGGGCTTCGACCTCTGCGGGGTTGACGTAGGTGTAGAACCGAGCCATGACGGCGAATATCACGCAGACCACCAGGAGCAACGAGGCAAACAGAACGTACTCAGCCCACTTGGGAGGACCGGAGTTGGAGCGAGAAAACAAACCAAAGAGCCACAGGTCACATTAGCCGAACACACTGCACACACACACACGTCTTCTTGCTACTCCTAGGCCGACGGGGACACCTGGGAGTGAAATTGCTAGGAAACATGGGGCACCCAACAGAGACACCCCAGCTTTCTCAGACGTTCAAGGAACAGGTGACGTTCTCCTGCCAACACGGGGTGTGGAAACACAAGACTTTTGGGGAAGATGAGAGACATTTTCTGATTTTTATTTTTTGAGGCAGGGTTTCTTTGTGTAGTTCTGGCTGTCCTGGCTCTCACTCTGAAGACCACAGAGAGATCTTCCTGCCTCTACCTCCTGAGTGCTAGGATTAAAGGAGTACACACCTCCCCTGGTAAATTTCTAAAATTCTTAAGGTTTGTGGCTGGAGCCAGAGGGACGAGAAACTGAAGAGAGCAAGCAGCAGTCTTGCAGGACAAAGAGATGAACACGGACGTGAGAGATGGCCTCACGGTTCTGAGCATCTGCCAGAGGCCTCTGGCTGGGTTCTCGGGACACCCACAAACCCCAAAACTCAGGCCAGGGGACCCAATGCCCCTCTGGCTTCCATGGGCACCTGCAGGTGCATGGTACACATACACACACTCAGCCCCCCATATATATGCATATAATACATATGCACATACATTTATACCCACACAGACATACACGCATATACATACAGATACATGTATATACACACAGACATACATGCATATACATGTACATGTAAATATATATACACACATATACATACATACTTGTACACATGTGTGCATATACATGTAAACATGTACACACACGTATATACATACTTATGCATAGGTGTCTCCCGACAGTACCTGAGCTCGGAAGCATGAAGCCCCAAGGCCACTCCTGACACAGGAAATAACCTAACTGCTTGCAGTGACAGGAAGCCATCAAGTAGACCTTGTGTGCAAAAACTGTGAGCATTAGACAAGCCAGTGTTTCACTTTAAACGGAAAGGCACAACTACTTAAGGGATGTCTTTAAGTCGTTGCGAAGTTTCTGCACAAGGAATCTGGTTTTCTTTTCTTTTTTCTCTTCCCATGCTGGGACGAGAACTCAGAGCCTTGTGCATGGTAGACAGGCATTCTGAATTCGCAGAATGGATGACAGATGCTTCCTTTGACAGCAGACTCTACGGGGTGTAGGGACTTCAACTCAACGTGGTTAACCTGGTGTCAGTTTCCAAGCCATAAGAGCCGGGAGAGACTCTGCCCAGTGCCACTGTGACAACCCCAATGGAAGGGTAGCCATGGACTCAACCGGATGCACACTTATAGATAGCTAGGGAGTGTCGTGGGGATTACCATTATTAATCAGGAAGGTCAGAAGTTCAAACTCATCCTCGAGCTACACAGCAAGGTCGAAACTACATAAGACCCCCGTCTCAAAAAATGCAGGCAAAAATAAGGCACCTCCAACCTCCCTTCCCCCTCATACCTGTTTCTCGAAGTGGCCCGCCCCTGCCACGATGAGCACGATGATGTTGCCAACAGCCACGGTTAAAAGCCAGCCTGCCTGAAGCACTGACTTCATGTTGGATGGAGCCTGAGGAAGCAAAGCAGAATGGATGACAACCCCGTCCCCACTTCAGCCGGGAGAGCCCCACCCACCCACTGCTCGGTGTACCGAGCATCCTGGAAGCACAGATCAGAGGTCAAAAGCTTAGTCAGGTATGGTATCTCACACTTATTATCCCAGCGCATGGGAGGCTGAGGCACAGAGACCTCGAGTTTGAGGACGCCCTCCGCCGCAGCACGACCACGCTCCAAATATAAATATGTAGATAACCAAGTAACAAAAACAAAGTCAGGTCACGTCAATCAGGAGAGCACCCTCCTGATGCAGACTTACACACGCTTAAGGAGTGTTGTCTTAGTCACAGGGGCAGATCTACAGGCTGACGGACTTGGCTCACAAGCTTCCAGGCAAAGCCATGTGGCATGTTCTCCCCAAAGTGGGGCTACTCTCTGGGCTGCAGACTTACACTTCTGTAGCTTTCCTGCCATGTCCTGCCTCAAGCTCTGACCACCTATGTCGCAGTCACGGTGTTTGTCAGACAGTGTGGTCGCCACAGACGGCGGTGACCCACCCTCGCTGCCCATCACAGACCCTGAAGGGAGATAGGCCAGGGTTCGCTGGCTTAGCTGTGGCTCTGACAAATACTCAGACATCAAGCTCTGATGGGAGATGGCCTTCTGTAAATGTCTCTTATTGGTTGGTGAATAAAGCACTGTTGGCCAATAGGGATGCAAGATAGGTGGGACTGGGAGTCAAGGAGGATTCTGGGAAATGTAGTCATGAGTAGAGGGTCGTCCTGTGATTCCCAGGAAGAGAGGACGAAAGTCTGCATTCTCGGTAAGATAGGACCTTATAAAATATATATATTAATAATTACAGGTTAATAATTAAGTCAGAGCTAGCCATTAAGAAACCATGGCAAATGACCAACAGCTTCATAATTAATATAGTGTCCTGTGTGTTATTTGGGGGCTGAGGTGGCAACGGGACCCCAGGCGGCTGGCGGGAAGAGTGCATGTTACAAAGCTACAAAGCTCTATCTGGGGTACTAATAAATTTGTCTGATTAGCTGTGGTGGTTTGAATGAAATTGGCCCCTATAAGCTCATAGGGAGTGACACAGCTAGGAGGTGTGGCCTTGTTGGAGGAAGTGTGTCACTGTAGGGGCAGGCTTTGAGGTCTCCTATGCTCAAGTTGCGCCTAGTTCGTCTCACTTCCTGTTGCCTTCGGATCAAGATGGAGAACCCTCAGCTTCTTCTCCAGCACCGTGTCTGCCCGCGGGCTGCCATATTCCCTGCTGTGATGATAACGGACTGGACCTCTGAAACGGTAAGTCACCACCTCAAATTAAATGTTTTCTTTATGAGAGCTGCCATGGTCGTGGTGTCTCTCTACAACAATAGAAACCCTAACTGCTGACCTTAGACTTCTGTTGCCAAGGGTGGTCTTGAACTTCCGACCTTCCTGCCTGTACCTCCCCAGGGCAGGGATGAGAGGAGTGCACTACCACACCTGGTTTCAGACAGTGCTGGAGACTGAAACCATGGCTGCACGCATGCTGGGCAAGCATCCTCTCAACCGAGCTACATCTCTTGCCCTAAGAGCAAAGGTGTTATGCTCGTCCTTAGCAGTACATCTGATTAGGTATGGGAATGACAGAGAGATTGTCAGCCGGACCTTGAATGCAACCGGAACACAGACCGGCAGACAATTACTTCTGTGCACAGCTTGAGCCTTTTGGGGACATCACGGAATGCAGAAACTGCCGCCATGACCCGGGCAGCCATCCTCCCTCCCCTTTTAGGACTCTAGTTTCAGTGTGACCGGGAGTACGGCCCCTCAAAACTGACAGTACCGTGTTCCCATGGGGTACAGGTCTTGTGGACCTTGCAGCCTTTGCTCTGTGCTAGACACCTGCGGTTGTTAGAATGAGAAACACCCCACGTAGGATCAGGTGTTTATATACTTGGTCTGAGTGGTTGTTGGGGGGGAGGCGGGGCCTTGCTGGGGGTGAGAGTTTAAAACCCTGTAGCACACTATTATTTCACTCTCTCTGCTTTGTGCCTGCAATTCAAGACGTAAGTGCTCAATTCAAGACGTGAGTGCTCAGCTTCCTGCCTTGGCTGCCGTGCCTGCCTAGAGCGCTACTACGATTTACACAGATCATAACCGCAGCGCTAATAAGCCCTTCTTCCTGTAAGTTGCTCTTAGTCTCATCACAGCAAGAGGGAGTAACTAATGTAACAACGTAACGGTTTCACAGGAAAGAACAATAGAGCACCATAATGCTTTCTAGAATTAAGAAAAGAAAACTATAAACAAGTCATAAGTGGTGGTGTGTGCCTACCCCTCCAGTACCTGAAAGCCCGAGGCAGGAGGATAGCCTGGGCTACATACTAAAACCTGTCTTACACAACCAACAAGACAAAAAGAGACTCTGAGCATGTGGGCATCCCTGATTCAAACCAAGTCCCCTCAGCGCTTTTCTGAGGGCCGCAGGGAGCAGAAGGGAGGAAGAGACAAGAGACCTGGGAATATGAGAACTCCAGCCCCGTGACGGAGAAGACCACTTCGCCACAGGTGAGGAGGAAGTACTGTGGGATTTGCAGCGCCATGTTCACCGTGTTGGGTGGGATGTCTTCAAATTCCTTCACTTCCAGGCAGCCATCGCTCTAGACCATCAAAGCAACAGGCAGGCGGTTGAGAAGGAGGCAGAGATACCTTTTAGAATAACATCTGTTCATACAGACAAACTGACAGACAGTGCCCATGTTAAATGTAACTGTGCAGTATTGGAAGCCTGCCGGGTAAAACCCTGCCCCCTTTAAACATTAAATCCTAAAGTCAACAGTCCGTAAGGAGGCATCAAATACTGCTCAATAGGAAAGTTTAACTAGTGTGTAACTAAGTCTCCTGGGTTTCATTATACAGTCAATATAAGTCAAGAATAAGTTAGAGAGAATCAGTGATGGGCCAGTGGGAATGGCAGCCCAGTAGGGAAAGGGGCTTGCCATCCAACCTAACAACTGAGTTTGAACCCTGTGACCCACAGAGTAGTAGAGAGAACAGACTCCAATTGCTACACACACACACACACACACACACACATACACACACACACACACACACTCTCTCTCTCTCTCTCTCTCTCTCTCTCTCTCTCTCTCTTGAACAATTAAAAAAAAGAGGAATTAGTGGTGAGTTGAATTAGTTCTAAGCCCATTTGGAGATCCCAGCTCCTCTAGTTAATCGTGAGCGTGTCCTGAGTGTCTGTGAGGAGTCACGCCAGCCGAGGTCGAGCGGGCTGTCTGCTGGGGTGGAGTGAACCACTGACCATCCTCCTGATCACATAGGTGTACGCGCTGCCAAAGTCGAGGTTGGAAGACTTAAAGTCGCGTGGACAGTTAGGCTGAATCTCTGTGATGTTTATTGTGAAGTCTTTTCTGTTAAGAGAAAAGAAACAATAGCAGTTATGGATCTTGGTATTAGAAATCTCCATTAAAAAAAAAAGATACTAGACAACCTTGAGTTTGGGAGCAAGCTGCCCAGAAGAGGTACTTACACGCCAGAAGGGAAAAACTGGTAAGTGCTGGCGTTGTTAGTGGGGACGTTTTCAAACACTTTCCCACTCATTGTGATGCTCAGCGTCTCATCAAGGGTGTTGACAAATCTGGAACAGAGAACCATCTGCCTTGTAACCAAGCCGTGAGATAATGGATGCTCCGTCACACAGGTCTGGTACCAATGTTAGGTCATGTTCCTCTGTGAAGGGATTTCAGATGCGTACAGAAAATTCCCCGGGGTCTAGAGGCAGGCAGTTAGCTATCGCACGGTTGTTCCTGTCCACCTATTCAGGAGAACACCGTTGAAAGAACTGACCTAACAGTATGTGTGCACGCCAGGAACTGTGTAGCTTGCTGATTCTTAGGGGCATTAGCTAACTAGTCATGGAGACGGGGACCAACTCCTTTTTTTTCTAGAAGGCAGCTAAGCTTTCTTTGTGCTGCTTGCATGGTGAGTTTCAGAGTTTAACAGGTGAAGGAACAAAAGAATAAAAACATTGCTGGATGACAGCCCCAGGCAGGGCTTCCTCTGGAGGAGGAGACCCTGTCATTTCAGCTCCCTGTGAGAGCCTGGGGAAGGGATGGGAGGCAAAATCTGCGAGAAAGAAGTTAGCTAACCCAGTGAGAAGAGGCTGTTCTAAGTGACTGCCCTCAGATGTGGATACCAAAAGCCTCAGCCCTAAGTCCCAGGGCTTCTATCCTTGAAAAGTCCCCTTGTTTAAACCTCAGGAGGAAGCAGGTGAGATGCTTGCCTTCCTAGGACTATACAGAATGTTACATTGAGAATACATGGTTACAGATGTTTCTTTGGAGGCTCAATGCTATAGGAGACGCTGAGATTCTTATACCTCCCCGGAGGGAAGAACATCTTACTGCCCCATAGGAGATCAGGTGCTTGTTTTGTCCACCAAACAGGTAGGTGACAGATTATAGTGGATTGTTCGATACATACAACAGGAAGCAATAATGATGGACATGTAAGTACTGTAAGGAACAACTTAAACCATTGTATCCCTAAAATATACGGCCCACTTTCATCAGCTTCATGGCATATATTTATTTGATAGAATAGTCTATTATACACAAATAAATTTTTAAAAAATTTGAGACAGGGTTTCTCTGTATTGTTTTGGAGGCTTTCCTGGAACTCGCTCTGTAGACCAGGCTGGCCTCGAACTCACAGAGATCCGCCTGCCTCTGCCTCCCAAGTGCTGGGATTAAAGGTGTGCGCCACCAGTGCCTGGCCATAAGTAATTTTTAAAGGGTACCACATTAACATTTGTGTGTGTATGTGTGCACTTGTATGTGTGGATGGCACGTGTGCGTGTGCATGTGTGCTTGTATGTGTGGATGGCACATGCGTGTGTGTATGGCACGTGTGTGTGCTTATATGTGTGGATGGCACATGCGTGTGTGCGTGTGCACTTGTATGTGTGTATGGCACATGTGTGTGTGTGTACTTGTATGTGTGGATGGCATGTGTGTATGTGTGTGTACTTGTATGTGTGTATGGCATGTGTGTGCACTTGTATGTGTGAATGGCATGTGTGTGTGTGTGCTTGTATGTGATAAATTGCCTAAATACCATAGTCGGCATTGTCCAAGGCTTCCAGTGTTAAGGACATTTCTAAGGGAATCAAAGCACTGGAAATGTTCCCCAGAGGTCTTCCAGCTCAGAGCCTCAGAGCCAAATACTAAATACAGAGCAGCTCTCTCTCTCTCTCTCTGTGTGTGTGTGCGTGTGCACACGTGTGTCTTGTGCAGGGCAGGACATGTAATGACAAAGACCCAAAGGAAGGACTATGGACTAAGAGTTGCCCTTGAATCCCCCAAAGGAAGGACTATGGACTAAGAGAGATGCCCTTGAAACCCCTCATGACACCTCAAAATGAGACTGTCTTTGGAGAACAGACATTTAAGGAGGCAAAGGGAGGGAAGCTGTCTGGCGGCCTTAATCCAACGTGACTAATTGGTGTCCTTGCAGGAAGAGGCCCGGATACAGACAGGCAGAGAGAAGGAAGATGGCTGTCAACCACCAACCACGAAGGGGGGGCTCACAAGAAACCAGCCTCGACTGCCCCTTGATCACGGACCTCCAGACAGAAGAACGATGGAAACATAAATTCCTGTTTATCGACACCACCAGGCTGTGGCACTGTGTCCTGACAACCTCAGCACAGACAGGTGCTTAGAAAATAAGGGGGGGGGGGCAAAAATCACATGGCCTGGTGCTGGCAAGATGAACCATGCCAATTTTAGTTACCCTGGAGAGAAATCTGGGGTTGTCAAAATCAAAGAAGACAGCGGGAGCTTGGTGTGAAACTGGTTATGATAAGTGGGTGCCTTTAAGTCAGGGCCACCGGGGAAGTCTCCAGAACTCTGGGAATGAACCAAGGGAAAGGAGAGCTTGGTGGGCTGGAGAGATGGCTCAGCAGTTAATCGCACTGGCTGTTCTTCCAGAGGTGTTCAATTCCCAGCAACCACATGGTGGCTCACAACCATATGTGATGAGATCTGGTGCCCTCTTCTGGCCTGCAAGCACACATGCAGGAAGAATTCTATATGCATAATACATATATACATATATGTATATATACATATTTTTTTTTTAAAGAGGAGGACTGGGTGCTTCTTTTTGTCTAGTAAGGTGTGCGGACAGAACACCCTCACCTGGGCCCAGTGGAGAAGTTTCTGAGGGCAGCGTCTGGGGGAGGACAGAGCACGCACTTTCCTCAGGTCACAGAGCATGTCGAGGAAAACTGGCTTCCAGAGCGGAGAGTTGACACCCTGAACCCTGTGACTTGGTGACCAGGCAGATACAGGCTAACATTTGTGTGTGTGTGTGTGTGTGATGAATGAATGAATCCTGAATTCTATCAGATTATTTTCCTACATCAGTTGACAAGTAGACTTTCTTCTCTAGCTTATTAAGATGGCGAACTGTGTTGGCTGAACCAGCCTAGCATTCTTGGCGCAAATGTCACGCTTTCATACCCTTGTTATAGACAGACTTGATTAAGGGGATGTGTCAAGCTCTGTTGGAAGCTGAAAGAACAATTTTACAAGGAATCTCCAAAAAAAAAGTTGGGCGGTGGTGGCGCATGCCTTTAATCCCAGCACTCGGGAGGCAGAGGCAGGTGGATCTCTGTGAGTTCGAGGTCAGCCTGGTCTACTGAACGAGTTCCAGGACAGCCAGGACTATTTCACAGAGAAACCCTGTCTTGAAAAATAAAAACAAACAAAAGAAATCTCCATACCTGATCCCATTTTCTCCTTTTTCTGGTTTCTGGTTAAGCCCATCTTTTACCTGAGAGAAAGAAAAAGATAATATAAAAATATTCCTGAACCAGTGATAGCTCAGTGTGTAAAGGCCTTGCTGTGCAAGCCGTCTCTCTGAGGCAATCCTGGGAGCCATGTAAAGGTGGAAGGAGACAACTCACTTCACAGATGTCTTCTCATCTTTATACATACACGGTGGCACGCATGCTCTGTTCTCTGAAGTGCCCATCATGTACATATGCACACAAACACACATAACACACAGACATACAGATACACACACATACACATAACACACAGACATGCAGATATATATACACGCATAACACACAGACACACACATAACACACAGACATACAGATATACACACACACATATATACACACACAACACAGACATACAAATATATATATACACACACATATACACAAACACACATACATATACATATACACAGCACAACACACATACACACACATATATACATAGACATATCTGTTGTGGAATAGCCTTTTTGTATACCATGAGGATGTATCCTTCTGATTGCTCTATTAAGAAGCTGAGTGGCCAATAGCTAGGCAGACTTTGGGGGACAGGGGACGAAGGGAAGAAGAAACGTTGGGGACATGAGGGGACGCATGACAAGCAGGAGATTTAATGGCGAAAGTGAGGCACCGCCCCATGGCAGAATGCAGATTCATATAGACGAGTTAATTTGTAAGATCCAGCCAAGACGAGCCTAAGCTAAAGACTGAGCTTTTGCCGGGGGATGGTGGCGCCTGTCTTTAATCCCAGCACAAGGGAGGCGGAGGAGGCGGATCTCTGTGAGTTCGAGGCCAGCCTGGTCTACAGAGTGAGTTACGGGACAGCCAACGCTACACTGAGAAGTCTTGTCTCAAAAAACAAACAAAAAATAAATAAAAGCTGAGCTTCCATAATTAATATAAATCTGTGTCATTATTTGGGAACTGGCTGGTAGGAGACAGACAGACTCGGTACATACGGCATCTAACATGGAGGCTTGAATATTCAAACACAGGGCCCGAGGAAGCAAAGAGAAGTTCTGGACAAGGAGCCGGATGTGGATTCCTCGTGCTGTAGTCTTTCAGGTGGGCTGGGGTATCCCAGCCATTGCCTGTGGGCTGCATCCGGATGTCACTCCATGCACTAAGATGAGCCACGCGGCAGCTGACATGACAATTTAGGATTTGTCTCATGCAGCCAGAGAACGCTGTAGGTGTTCTGTAAAGCCAGAGCCAGACACAGAAAGCCTCTAAAAAGGGGCAGTATGTTTAAAAATGTGCTCAGATGCTGAAGGAAGAAAAGAAAATGTGTGTAGTCATAGAAAAAATAGTTTAAAAATAATAAATTCTTTAAGGAGAGAGTAAATTAATATAAAAAGAACAAGCCACATAAAGATGGGAAATATACAGGGTATCGGGATCCTGTATGAAGCTTTGCTGACTTTGAATTTCTTAAATGCTAGTGCACACACACAAAAAAAACGCTACTTGAGAGACACTGGATTACAGAAATGGCTAAATTAAACCAGCCTACATATTTTAAGAATGTCTTAAGTTCAAAATGGAAGTCAGAAAATGCGTTGCATCGGAAGAGAGGTTATACATTTGTTTCTATAGGAAACAAAAAGTTATGGTTCTCTTCAAAATTGATGAAGATGTGATTTGACTGGGGGAGACCTTCTGAGGATCTGGGCTACAGACATGAGGGAAAAAAACCAAGAAAGACTACAGGACAGGTGACATATATGCTGATCCCTCTGCTATGGGAACAGCTCCGAGACTGGATGAGACATGATAAATCTTGTTGGCTGTAGAATCCTCATGACTTATTATTACATGCCACCTTTTATATGGCATGGGTAGAGGCTTGGTTTAACAGTCCAAACAAACATAAAGTTAATAGGGGCCTTTTACCTGCTCAAGCATAGAACAACAAAAAAAATCATCTTTAACTGACTTATGCACACTGCACATTCTGTACTCGTGTGAATATATATATATATACATATATATATATATATATATATATATATATATACATGCTACCTTTAAAAGTCTGTGTGTTTTTGGAAAAATAAAAGGAGCAGACACCGATAAAGACAAGTAGTATCCCAGGTGATTCTGCCCTCTCACAACTCCTCTGTTGCAGCTTCCTCAAAGTTCTGCATCCAGAACAACTTCAACATGGCTAGCTGAGATGGTCCAGCCTCTCAGACTACTCCAGCCAAGACTTCAGATAAGCTCTGCACTTTCCCAGCACACAGAGACTAAATAAAAAAATATAATACAGCTACTTGTTCCAGGACTTGACCATTATCCCAGTTTTCTTAGAGTCCCCCAAAGGTGCCAGTGTCCCTAGACAACAGGAAGTAGTCTAGAGAACATGTTGGCCACATTCCTAAGAAGTGGGATGGATGGGTTCTCGTCATTTGGGGGTGGTGGCTACAAGGTGTACAAGGTGTACAAGGTGGCTACAAGGTCATGGTCACGGTCAGGAAAAAAGCCAAGCAAAGGAGACTAGATTCAGAGATTTCTTTCTGGAGGAAATAAGGCAGACATAATATAGAAATGATGGGTAAAAGGGTAGTTTGTTGAGTCTGCTTTTGGACAGCCACTAGTTTCAAATATTTTACATTGGTATTGATTTTTGTGTACTGATACAAATTTAAGGTTATTTTTGTTATACTGTGTACATGTTTCTACTCTTGCTAAAGGTATTGTACCTGTGTAGCTCATTTAAAAATGCAATGTAAAGTTCTAGTCCTTGAAAGCTACTTAGGATAATGAAAAAATACAGGATAGTAGTTAGTCATCTATAACAATCAAACTTATAGTCATGGTAGGTATGTTTTTAAGGTCAAACAGAGATATGTTTTAAATAGATGGTCTTCAAACACTTCAAAGATCTATAGAATATGGCATTAAAAATTTAATAACATAAGGCTTTTAATGACAGTGAGATACACCTGCTCCTGGCAGCACCAATTTACTTCCAAAAAGGATGATGGGCATGAAGAGCCTCCACATGGAGCTTGCTTTCAATGTACTTATGCTAGCTATTCGGGCAAGAAGCTGCCCTTGCCTTGACTGCTGACAGGATGCTGTCCAAACCGAACAGCCAGGACACAGAAAGAAAGCAACTGCCAAACTTTGCCATGACAAGGCAGGAAAGTCCTTCAAAATTCCCACTTCGTAAAAAACGTTTTTTAGATATTCTAGGCTGCAGCCCGAAGACAGATTCTCCAACATTACAGAGGAACCTTGGGTGACTGTCCAGGAAGCCAGCTGTTTCTGTCATTTCTATAGTTTTGGAAGTTGTTTGCTCTGCGCTTACTGCTTACTCAAGTAATATGTTGTGCTTCTTGGGTCTCTGGTGGAGGTTGAAGACTAGATAGTTATAGTTTTGCAATTTTCGTTGTTACCAAATTCAGAAAAATAAGCTTACACAGGAGATGTAAAGTGTGTAAGGTTGAGAGACATAAAAGCTCAAATTGTCTAGAAAAAAAAACATTTTGAAAAGTCTAAAAAGACAGTTTTTGGATGACAATACAAGTTATAATAAAATGGCTTAACTATGCAACTTTAAATTAATCAAGATAAGATAGACACTGGAGTATTTTCAGTGTCCAGGTCCAACTTGAGAATTGTTCTTATCGCATACAGCTTCATTTGTTAAAGTTAGTACCGTTCCTTTTTATTTAGACAATACCTGACGGTTGTTCTTATTGTATATAGTTTTACTATGTTGGAGTTAAACCCTTTCATATTTTTATGTAGACAAAAAAGGGGGGGAAAGGCTGTGGAACAGCCTTTTTGTGCACTGTGGAGATGTGTCTCTCTGGCTGGTTTAATAAAAAGCTGAACGGCCAATAGCTGGGCAGGTTTTCAGGGCAGAGAGGACGCAGGGAAGAGGAAAGGCAGGGACACTAGGAGACGCAGGACAAGCAGGAGGAGCAAGATGAGAGAGAAGGTAACGCCTCGGAGCAGAGTGCAGATTAACATAAATTTAAGTTATGAGAGCTAGCCGAAACAAGCCTAGGCTAAAGGCTGAGTTCATGATTAATATGCGTCTCTCCGTGTCATTATTTGGGAGCTGGCTGGTGGGACAGAGGAAGACTCATCACACATACAAAACACACATACACACACACACACACACACACACACACACACACACACACACACACACACACGAAACAAAACAAAGTAATTCCTGACATTCATCTCATTAGAATCAGTTCATACTAACACTTCAGAGTGCACGATACTGGCCCTTGACCTAGAAAGGGGTCCATTTCTTCACTCCTGGTTTCCCTCCAGGCTTTTTCTGTTATTGATCCCTGGCTGCAGGTCGTTCCAAAGAGTATGACTCTCCAACAATTCAGATTGTTCGACCTTCAGACATTGCAACACCCGTGTTGCCAACACAAAGTTCATGTGTAGGAACCGGGCAGATGAGTTGGGAAAAATCATTGCAAAATAAGAGCTCATAACACCTTAAGCCTTCAAGGAAGTACATTTGTGCTAGGTCACACTCAGAGCTACTCTGGGGTGTGCCCTTCCTGCGGGCCACAGGCTGGACATACCTGATAGAACAAGCCGCTCAACAGCTTCCCAATTAAGCACATGGCCAGTAACATTAATTGCGCTTTAATTTTTGTTTTATTTTGTGCTCTTGCTCAAACTCCCCTCACTGACTCAAAGAAGTTCCTTTAGTCAGTTCGACTACATCGTCACTCTTCAAGTACCAAATGACACGCCTGCATTTTTGTCAAAAAATATTTCGTATGCGTTTTATGCCTTGTGTTTGATATACGTACCATATTTTTTGTTAGGCTGCCCTAATTAAATGCACATTAAAAGACTAATACAAATAAAGCTGTGTTAAGCAATTTATCTCAAAAGGCCTCTGAGAATGTATGCATGTATCCATGTGATTTACACACATAACATGAAAGAGCGCATGTACACACGAGCATGGGCACACACTCATCACAACACAAACAGTTTTACCTTCACATTTTTATTAGTTTTGCTTTTTTCAGCCAGAGTCCTGCTCTGCCATTCTGGCTGGCCTGGAACTCAAAGAGAGCCTCCTGTGTCTGCTTCCTGAGTGCTGGGATTAGAGGTGTGCAATGCTATGCCAGCTAGGAAGAGCCTTGCTGACAGTCCGGGCTAGCATCTGCCTTTTGAGAGCTGCTGAAAAAAAGGTGTGGGCCACCACACCTGGCTCCTGAATTTCTTTTTAAAAAATTGTAATTAATAGCAGTCTCATCCTTATCCACCAGCCAAACCTTTACTGGAGGTCAAGTGACCTGTGGCCTTGAAGAAAGGATCTGAAGACTGTTTTATAGACAAAGCAACGTCACACCAATAAGCAGCTGTGCCCTGAGGCTGGAGAGGTGGCTCAGTGGTTAGGAGCACTGGCTGCTCTTGCAGAGGACCTGGGTTTGGTTCCCAGCACCTACATGGTGGTTTGCAATTATCCATAACTCCGGTTCCTGGGGGATCAGATGCCCTCTCTGACCTCCTCAGACACCGGGTACCCGTGTGGTGCACATGTGTGCATACAGGTAAAACACTCAGACACAGAATCTAAACACTTAAAAATCCGTGTCTCTGACAGTGCACATAGCCTAGAGAATGCTGTATCAACTACTTACCACAACGGAATTATTGGGGCCCCACACTAGAAGGGTGTAGCGATGGCCTGGTTCAAAGTCATAGTCTACCGTAGCGACTGGGGATCCAGGAGAAGACACGTTTATTTTTGTCAGCTTGTCTGCTTCGAAAGTTATGAAATTGTTTGTCTGGATTGGGGGGGGAGGGGAGGAGCAGAGTCAGCGCTGTGCATCTGAACACACCGTCACGCCGAGTGACGCGTGGCGTCTCCATGTTTATACGCATCCAGAGTACCTTGCAGGGGGCTCCCATGCCCAAGGACACACTTCCATACAGTTCTTCCTGATTGCCACAGGGACCACACTGCTCACCAAACACTTGGTTTTGGAAACACATTCTGTGAAGTCATTTACAGTACTTTGTAAAGAGCAGTTCGGGGGCTGGGGCCGCAGAGATGGCTCAGCGTTTAAGTGGCTGCTCTTCCAGAGGATCTCTACGTTTGATTCCCAACATCCACACGGTGGATCGCAACCACCTCTAACTACATTTCTAAGGGATGGTGACACCCTCCCAACATCCAGATGATGGGTTGTAACCACCTATCACCCTCTTCTGGCCTGTGAGGGCACCAGGCACACATGGAAAACAGGTACATAATGTAGGCAAAACACCTATACACATTAAAAAACAACCCCTCCCCCCCAAAACAAAACACCAAGGGGAAAGCAAATGGTTCTGGTGAAAATCAACATGGGGCATCCTGGAAGAGAGGAGTCAAACTCCTAACACCTTCGACGTCTTTAGCCTGTCACCACTACTCCGACTGCTGTGAGTCAGGAATGAGAATAGATGAACCCGTGTCACTGGGGTCAGGACCTCAAGGTTCACCAAGTGACCAGACTCAAGGCTGGGAACCGGCATTCGGGGACAGTGACCTCTGGAGTAGGGTTTCTGACACCAGCACTGAGTTTACCAGGGCAGATAATATTCCCCTGTGGAGGCTGAGTGCCCGCACCTCTGGCTTCCACTGGTGAAATGCCAGCCGCACACTCTTTCTTTGTAACAACAAAGAATTCTCTGTAGAGACTGTTCAACATCTCCAGGGATACCACGGGACCTTCCCTGATGTTGGAAGTGTAGCTTCCTATGGCGGCAGCATGCGGGACGCTATGGAAATGTGGTATTTCTGGTCTACAGATCAAGTCTGCATTCTCCGGGGCGCTGGAGTGATGAGTAACTCACATCATTCGAGTCAGAGGCCCACCGGTCTAGAGAGGAACACGTGGTGGACACTGACATGTGTCAGTCTTAGACTGGCTTTGGGATTCGTACAAGGACCCGTAAGAACGGCCGCTCCGAGTTGGGGTATGAGCCGGGGAGAAGACGAAACAGGAGGTCTTATTCCCTCTCACTTACTTGAGACATTTGTTCAAGCGTCAAGGGCATTCCAGGAAGATACACAGTCATATTGTTGTCTCCTATATTCAAGGCCTTAATTTGGACTTGACTCCCTCCAGGGAAGACTGGAAGAGTTTTCTGGAAAAAGAAAGGGAAATCAACCATGAGGACATCTATGCATGGTCACGGTCACCCGGGACTCTGGAGTCACCTCCCTCTGCAATCTATATCTGCATCCAGGGAGACATGACAAACCCCAGGGAGACATGACAAACCCCAGGGAGACATGACAAACCCCTGGATAAGCCTCCTGGTCTACCTGTTACGTTTGGCATGGCAATGGAACATTATCTAGCCTTGAAAACGACGGTGATTGTTTTCATATCCTCTGAAGGGTGAACCTTGAGGGTATATATACAGGAAGCCAACCACAAAAGGATAAACGCGCCACGGTTATGATCATGTGATGCCCGGCGCGGAATCTAGAGACAGACTGTGGAACAGTGCCTGCTGTGGGCCTTGGAGAGACAGATCAGGAAGTTAGCTCTGAATATCGCAGAGGTGTCATGTGGGAAGATGGATGATTTCTGGAAGTATGTGTGGTGCGGGTTCCACAGTAAAGGGAACTGTACTGAGCTGCATGCTTAGAAATGGTTAAGACGGGAAAATTCATTTGTATATGTTCACTGCCATGAATTGTGTGTGTGTGTGTGTGTGTGTGTGTGTGTGTGTGAGAGAGAGAGAGAGAGAGAGAGAGAGAGAGAGAGAGAGAGAGAGAGAGGAGAGTCTCTTCTAGTTTTATGGATCATGTAGTCCTTGTCTCTGGAACTAAGCCCTTATCTCCAGTAGGGAGCATGGGGCTGGTTTAGAAAACGTGCACCCAACAGATTATTAGATCTGTTTAGGAGTTAGCCCTCAGTAGATATATTAAAACCCAAAATGTGCTTTTCCATGAGGAGCACAGTGTATTTCTGAAGTGCCTGTCTGAGAACGGCAAAGCCTCTTCTCACCAAAGAGTTCAGAACAATTCCATGGACTCATCCCCCACCAGGGAAACTGTAGTATAGGCGGAAGCAACTCATGCCATCTTTCCAGCTAATGAAGCCCGCCCGTCACTTCCAGGACCTCCTGTGCCCTGCCATGGCAGAGCCCGCAGTGTCCCGCCCCAGCCTCGCACTGCCCTTTACTGCAGGAATTCCCACTGCGCGTGAGGAGCCACCTGGCATCGCCTAACCCTCTGAGCCCCAGAGAGAGCAAACTCACATCAATTTCCACCTGCACGATGGCAGCCGCCACGAAGGCCATGGAAGCCAGGAACATCCCAACGGTCATCTTCTTCAGGGAACTGACAGGGACAAGAGGAACGAGAGCATCAGCCCGTCTTGCCCGCCCAGCCCGAGAGAGCCCCGGAGGAAAAGCCTAGGCACCTCCCATCCCAGCTGCTTCCTTGCAAAGACAGCCGTGCTGGAAGCCACTTCTGGGGTTGTCACCGTTTTAGGGCTTTATCTGTGTGTGCCTATGTGCATGTGTCTATGTGAGCGTATGCACATATGTCAGATCCCCTGGAGCTGCAAGCCACGGGCATTTGCGAGCTGCTTCCTGTGGGAGCTCTGGTCTGCGTGCCTGAGGAGCAAGCATCCTTTGGTGCTGAGCCGTCTCCGAGTCCCTTTCTGTTGTTATTCATGGCCGGAACTAGTGAGGGCACTTGTACTCCTTATTTGTATTATCGCATTTAATTGCTAGAAATCCTATGGCCACAACTGATATTTCTGTCATGCATGTACACGGAAGAGCCTTCATTGTCAGCTTTTTTTTTCCAGGCCTCCACTGACAGCATTTCTTATTTATATGTAGGAGGATTTTCAAAAATATTGCACGTGAGCATCTCTTTCTAAAGCTGTGTATGCATGTGTGTGTGTGTGTTGTATGCAAATGATTGTGGGTATGCACAAGCCCGTGTGTGCACATGAGGCAGCCATAGGACGTTAGGCATCTCCTAACCCTGCCCACCTTATTTTCATGAGGCCAGGATATCTCGGTGAAATCTGTAGCTTATCATGTTTGGCTAAGCTGGCTAGCCAACGAGCTCCGGGGATCTGCCTGTCTCTGCCTAAGTTACAGGTGCACACGGCCATGCCTGGCTTCTTACACACAGGTCCTAGGGGGTCTGAACCAAGATTTCCATGCTTGCATGGCAAGCACGCTTATCCAGTGAGATATCCCCCCATGCCTACAAACATCAATTAACTTGATTTCTTTAAATCCTTCACCATGAGACAGGCCTTGTAGCACAGCCTATAATCTCAGCCCCTTGGGTGGCTTGTAGGTTCAGAGCCTACACGGGCTGGAGCCCGTCTTGTCTCAAAATAGAAAGGAAAAGGAAGCTTGGGGTTCTACGTCAGTTTAAGAACATTTGTCTAGGCGTGTGTGTGAAATCCCCTCCGTTCAGTCCCCAGTCCTGCGAACATAAAATAAATAAGCGCCTCACCCTCTCGCTCAGTGGTTCTCAAGCTTCTGACACTGCCACCCTTTAATACAGTTCTTCGTATGGTGGTAACCCCCAACCAGAAGAAAGTTATTTTCGTTGCTACCTTGTAACTGTAATACTGCCACTGCTGTGAATCATAATAAGAACAGCTGTGTTTTCTGATGGCCTTAGGGAAGACCCCGGTGTTTGCTCTCCCCCCTCCCCAAAGAGGTCACACGACCCACAGGTTGAGAAACGCTGTCCTAGGTGGACGCTTCTGGAAGCAGAGCGTTTGGGAAAGCCCTGATCCCGATCAAGCAGCTACCTACGTGAAATTGAGACCACATTTTGCAATGAGAGGGTACACCGCAGCATCCATAATGGGGACCATGATGACAATCAAGATGGCGTTCACAGTCTGCAGAGGAAGCAGAGAGGGGCTGTCAGCGCCATCGCAGCGAGCACTTGGACCTTGGAGAACCACCCCGGTGTTTTCTCCTACCTGCATCTGGTCTGGCTGAATTTCAATAGCTCCCTAAAAAAAAGAGAGAGAGAGAGAGGAGGCAAAATATTACTTGGAAAAGGAAAAAAGCCATGAAAGGAAAGGGGAAAGGGGACAGAGGTGGTGACCAGAAGAGAGTTACTAAGACGGGCAAACTTACGATCTTCCCACTCATGGTCGTTGCTTGCAGAGTCCACCTGGAGCCCTGAGGAACGAGCACATTGACTGCGGTCATGGGGGCCCCGTGGCCTTTTTAGAACGTGATGACGCGCTACACCAGCCTTCTAAGCCGGGAGTGAAATGTTATGGGATCTGAGGTCTCCGTCACAACACCAGGAAGACGAGAGACCGGTTGTAAGCCGACAGACCCCTAACTCTGCCCTGGGATGCACGAGGGGCCCGAGACAGAGCTATCCTCAGGGTTCACAAAAGCACAAGGCCGCTGTGAATTACATGGTACCGACTCTCAGGGTGAGCTCATCGAGGCGCCGGGTTCTAGGTATGCTGGTGCCAATATCTAGAACATTGCAATTGCAAAGAACCATCTTTTGCAAGCTACAGGGAGGGGGCTTAGATGCGTCTCAACAAAGGCAGCAGTGGCCTTAAATCTGGGCAGCCTAGTTGTAGTTTGTCTGTTTCTTATAGGATGTGATGATCTTTTTTTTTTAAGATTTATTTATTTATTTATTATGTATGCAGTATTCTGGCCTGCAGGCCAGAAGAGGGCACCAGATCTCATTACAGATGGTTGTGAGCCACCATGTGGTTGCTGGGAATTGAACTCAGGACCTCTGGAAGAGCAGCCAGTGCTCTTAACCGCTGAGCCATCTCTCCAGCCCAGGATGTGATGATCCTTATGGCTGACTGAATACTCAATGGATCAACATAACTCCATCAACTCCAAGGCGAAGGCAACCCGGAAAGCAGTACAGCTTCGCCGTTTGAGTTCTTAGAATGTACCAGTCACGGAGGACCTTGTACACAGGTCTAATTTGGGCCTCACAGCGTGGGTAGGTGGTCAGGACAAACGTGTTCCCAAGAGTTCTGAGTCCTGAGCCTAAGTCACCCAGCTGTCGGCGACACCTGTATTTCTCAACCCAAGTCTGAACCCAGTTAGGCTCCCACCCAAGGCGCAAGGTGGCTTCTTTGTGCCGCCGGGATGCTCTGTACTTCACGCTGAGGACAAGGAGACGCACGCATGCTCACACGATCTCCGGGGATCACCCTCCCTTCCACATTAGCTGTGTACAGTCTCTCTCCAAGAAACAGTATGCCCGCTTGTTTGAGCAGTGAGCGTTGTGCCCTGGGCGTTCTGTGTAGACCCCAGCGTGTGTCCTACACGTGGTCTCACATCCTACCTGTGTGCGTATGGGAAACATTAGCTGGGCCCGGGGTTATCAGCCCAACAGTACAGGGGAGCATGAAGTTGAGAGGGGCGTGCGGTGGGGGCAGTTGGAAGGAGGTAATGGTGCGTGAGTATGATCAAAGCACGTTGTGTAAGCGTGTGACGGCTCCCACAAGAGAAAAGGAAGAATGAAGCCACAAGTCTGGTCAGGCACCTGCTGCTTCAAGCAGGAGGACTTGGGTCCAGTCATTTACAGCCCCGCCTGGTACTTCTGACTCACTATTCTGTTTTTAAGTGGGAGATCCCGCATCAAGCCCCCTTACGTAGAACATTCCACACATCCCTTCAGAGGCAAAACCTTCCCACCATGCTGGGTCAGTAGAACAATCTCTGCCCCCAGTTCCGATTGGCAAGGGTCCCGGGTGCTCTGAGGAAACCTCCCCGGGGTTACTCTGTGTAAACGAGCCTCACTTTCTTCATTGATTAACCGCGGGCGTGCGGGCAGAACCTTTTAGGGTATGTCTCAGCCAACAAACGCAATATGATGCAACAATTCCATCAGCAAAAATTCAAAAAAAAAAAAAAAAGGAAACTGGGGGAGAATGTCTTTTAGGAGGCGAACACCCAGGGTGGACCAGCGGTACTTACTACAGACGGATGAAACAAGACACGTTACCTGCTGATCAAACAAGGCCCAGAACATGGGGAGTGGAATATACAGGAACATCACCTTCATGACCATCTTGATTTGTGAGATGAGCCGCTCCTGCGGGGTGGACAAGCCATCCAGGGCTGGGGTCAACGGCTGTGGCTGCTCCATTGTAAACCAGGGATATTTGCATCTCGGGCGGGGGGGGGGTATTTGCAGCTGGGGGGCGTGGTTATTCAGTGTAAAGAACACGGCCCACAGGTCTCTTTAGGAAGCCAGGACTTTCTGAACAAGTGAAGGCACTAGGAGAGGGGCTGTGTCAGAGGCCAGCCGCCAGAGCTTCCTACATGCCCGTCTCCAGGTTACCGCCCCACCCCACCCCGGCAACTCCGTTCGAAGCGATGGAAGATGTGAGCCCCTTACGGCAGGCTCACAGGCAGGCTCACACTCGCTCCCTGACCAAGGAGGGCCAGTGTTCTAAAGCCTTTTCAAAGCGGGCTGTGCATAGTTGTATCCTGCTCGCTATTAAGTGTCAGGCAGGCTCGGTCGAGGGTGCTGCCCACATAGCTAACACGCTGGATTCTGCTTTCTTTCTGAGCCCGCTCCCTAAGGCAGCCAGGGGGTGCCATGGCAGGGATGGTGACTTACGTCGTATTTCTCTTTAGCCCAGTCCAGCCAGTGTTCCCTCTTGGGAAATGCCTTACTTCGGTGCCTGAATCTGTTTTTGATGGCAAACTGAAGGAAAGAAAGAAAGATTTTAAAAAGAGAATCAACAACACCAGAAAAACACATCTCAATGAGTTCCCTTTTAATGGACAACCATGAGAGAGAAAAAGCACTTAAAAAAAACTAGTAGATACTAGCACGGCACATTTACTGAGATGTACAACGGGGTCCATTTGTCTACAGCCTCTCTCTAGCCCAGATGCCTGTGTTGGGGTCCCCATTGTCAGTGTTTTATCCCTCAAGCCAGTTTAGAAAAGCACGTTCGATAGAAATTCAACCACACACTTGTGTTCCAGTTTTCTTTTTTTTTTTTTTTTGGTTTTTCCAGACAGGGTTTCTCTGTATTGTTTTGGAGGCTGCCCTGGAACTTGCTCTGTAGACCAGGCTGGCCTTGAACTCACAGAGATCCTCCTGCCTCTGCCTCCCAAGTGTTGGGATTAAAGGCATGCGCCACCAACGCCCGGCGTGTTCACGTTTTCTAATAGCTGGCTAACACGTAAAAACAAAATACATAAACGTGCCCCCCTCCCCGGGTTTCTCTGTGTGTGTAGCCCTGGCTGTCGTGGAACTCCGCTCTGTAGACCAGGCTGGCCTGGAACTCAGGCGTATGCCCGCCTCTGCCTCCCTCATGATCCTTCATGCCTCTGCTTGGGATTAAAGGTGTGTGCCGCCACCACCTGGCTCTATTTGGTAGGTCGTTTAAGTGGGGGGAGAAAAAACCACCCAAGGAACCTCCCCCTCAAGTCATCTTAAAGGGAAGAAAAAAAAACAAAACTGTTGAGTTTTTCTTCCTTTTTAAAAACTGAGCTTTGACTTGAAGGAGGTGGAAGGTGCGGGGGTTGGGTGGGGGTGGGGAGTTCCGGAGGGGCTCAGTGGGAGGGAGGAGGGCGAGGGAGAGAGGGAGAGCACTTACACCAATGCACTTGGCCACTTTGCTCATGACGTTGCCTTGGGGCTGGAACTTCTTGTACATTGCACTGCCGAGGACGAACACAACTGTTCAGGGCAGAGGGAGAGGGGAGGGGGGGTCACTGCGGCGTTCGCCAGAGCTCCCTGTGGCCTGAAAGGTGCACATCTACCCAAATCGTCCCCTAGCCAGGAAGCATGGGGTTACACACAGAACTGTTCCCCTGCGTCACAGGTGAGGAGCTGCTTCTGATTTTAGCAGCCACTGGGAGCTCAGGGCGCTGGGTGCTTACGCTGCAATACACAAACACCCCAGCCTAATGCCTTCCATCAAACCCCCACGCCCCCCAAAGGAGACCAAGGGCAGAGGAGCTTTTGCACGTCGTAAGGAATACATTATTCTACAAAGACAATAAACACGGACGGTACTAACAATTCTTGTCTGCAACCGCAAGAGGAATTTTCTCACTGCCCTTAATATTCAGGAGAGGGGGGGTTAATCTGTTGAAAGGTTCACTTAGTCATCGGTGGTGGGAATCCCCACCCCTCCCCCAGCCATCGTACAGAAGTAGGGCTATACATTAATTGCCTCTGCAGTGGCTTTGATAGAAATGAGGGAAGCCTTTCAATGAGGCTATTATTCTTTTTTTTTTGGTTTTTCAAGACAGGGTTTCTCTGTGGCTTTGGAGGCTGTCCTGGAACTAGCTCTTGTAGACCAGGCTGGCCTTGAACTCACAGAGATCCACCTGCCTCTGCCTCCCAAGTGCTGGGATTAAAGGCGTGCGCAACCAACGCCTGGCGAGGCTATTATTCTTTTGTGGAGCTTGCTAGCCAGTAGGCGTCCTGTGAAAATGACCCCTCAAAGGCAGCACTTCTGCAGGAGGGCCTCCATTAGGCTTCCAGATCACCCAATGCCACAATTGGATAACTTAAGAGCATCAGTAGGTCATTTGTTAAGGTCCCAGGTGCCCTCAGGGTCTCACTAGCATCATCACTGTCCTATAGATGTCATTCAGGGCCAACTGACTGACCCTGACTCACGCTCATGCCCAGTGCCCTGACAAACACGGGTGGTGAAGGTTCCCAGCAGGCTGAGCCAGCATTTCCCTTTGCCTTTCTGCTTTTTGACAAACTGAAGCCGTAACTCAGGCACAGAAGTTTCTAGAAGAGCTGTAGATGCCTGCTGCGGTCTTAATTCCTTTATAGGAAGATACAGAATCTTTTTCTTACATATACAGACTAAATGAGGATCTGCCTTGAAGTGCCCTTTTCAGTTCAGAATTGCGAAGAGCGCACATCAGCCCTTTAGAGGAGCGTGGCCATCTCTGAAGAATTATGGGAGAGAAGAGATGTTATAAAAGGGGGGGTAAGGGCAGTGCTTGGGTAGCAGTGGAAACAAGGCAAAATTGTTTCAATATGAGAAAAAGAGGTGAAAAAGTGGTTCTGTCTGAGACCGGTTAAGACCTGGAAACAGGACCTGGAGAAAGAGTGATGAAGCCATGGAGACCGAGGGGACCATTGGCCAGGTCTTCCCCATGCTAACTTTCTACCCAGAGCATCCCAGGGTACCTCTTTGTACTTCTCAAGGAAAAAAGGAACTGCTCAAAACTAATGCACATGTGTGGACTCTAGATTCTATCTGCCTATCAGTCTGTCCATCCATCCGTCCATCTGTCTGTCCATTCATCTGTCCATCTGTCCATCCATGTATCATCTATCTATCTATCTATCCATCCATCATCTATCTATCTATCTATCTATCTATCCATCTATCTGTCCATCCATCCATCCATCCATCCATCTATCTGTCCATCCATCCATCTATCTGTCCATCCATTCATCCATCCATGTATCATCTATCTATCTATCTATCTATCCATCCACCCATCTGTCCATTCATCTATCTATCTGTCTGTCTGTCTGTCTGTCTGATGTCTATCTATCTATCTATTTCCTGAAAGTAGAGGGCGCTGTGTCTGGGGAGGGAGGGGAGTGTCAAGAAGAACGAGGAAGAACTGGGATAGGTGATGGGGAAGCGAACATGAAAAAGATACAGCCATAACTATACATGAAAAAGATACAGCCATAACTATACACGAAAAAGATACAGCCATAACTATACACGAAAAAGATACAGCCGTAACTATACATGAAAAAGATACAGCCATAACTATACATGAAAAAGATACAGCCATAACTATACATGAAAAAGATACAGCCGTAACTATACATGAAAAAGATACAGCCATAACTATACATGAAAAAGATACAGCCATAACTATACATGAAAAAGATACAGCCATAACTATACATGAGAAAGATACAGCCGTAACTATACATGAGAAAGATACAGCCATAACTCTACATGAAAAAGATACAGCCATAACTCTACATGAAAAAGATACAGCCATAACTCTACATGAAAAAGATACAGCCATAACTCTACACGAAAAAGATACAGCCATAACTATACACGAAAAAGATACAGCCGTAACTATACATGAAAAAGATACAGCCATAACTATACATGAAAAAGATACAGCCATAACTATACATGAAAAAGATACAGCCATAACTATACATGAGAAAGATACAGCCGTAACTATACATGAGAAAGATACAGCCATAACTCTACATGAAAAAGATACAGCCATAACTATACATGAAAAAGATACAGCCATAACTATACATGAAAAAGATATGATAACTATAAAAATGTCATCATGAAACCTCTGCATACCAGCCAAAAGTAATCTACAGAGAAATAGCAGCCACTGACATAAAAAACATGTGTGCAAATAAATATAACCACTATGTGCATACAGTCCTTCTAACGGGAAAGGGTTCTGTAGAAATCCTTGAGGTGATGTATAATGGGGGCTTAGATCCTAGCAGAAATATCCAGTGGCCAGTGAACCACATTTCTTTACTCAAGCTGCAGCTGACATATATTGGTAACAGTAGAAGCCTTCAATCCTGGGCTCGCTAAGCTAGCAGACTCCATCACTTCTGCTCAAATGCTTAGATAGACCCAAATCGAGTGTTCCAGTCATCGGGTGCCCCTCCTCCTAAGCCCTTTTAGATCCTGTTTCCCTCATATGATACCGCCACCCCACTTTCTCCTTCTCCTAAATGCAGGTCTTCACGATACTTTTTGTGATAACTTGGCACATGGAATTAAAAAAAAAACTTAGCCATGATAATATGGAGCCTGACCTGGGCCTGGGCTTGTGTCAGGTCAACAGATTTCTACTTACTCAGGGAGACAGCCATGAGAGCCGCTGGAACCCCAAAGGCCAGTGGGTAACACGCTTGCTGACTGTGGATTCCACATTGTTGAACTGAGGAGAGATAATGATTAAAATGGGTCAAGTTTTCTTTTTCTAATGCACATATTGTTCCCATTTCTAAAAAAAAAAACCCTCTGTGATTAAACCAAATTGCTTTTGCTTAATGTTCTGTTTGCCCTAATACTGACACTGACACTTGAGTAAACTATCTCCACAGCTCGTTCTATGGATTTTCTTCTCAAATTTTCACATTCATTTAGTCTGTCTGTCTGTTTCTCTCTCTCTGTCTGTGTGTGTGTGTGTGAGAGAGAGAGAGAGAGAGAGAGAGAGAGAGAGAGAGAAAGGGAGGGAGGGAGGGAGGGAAGGAGAGAGAGAGAGAGACAGAGACAGAGACAGAGAGACAGAGAGAGAGATGGCATGCATCTAGAGGCTGGAGGACAGCTTGCAGGATTCCATTCTCTCCTTCCACAATGTGGGTCTAAGAACCAAACTCAGGATGTCGGGACTCACAGCCAGCACCTTAACCTGCTTCGTTACCTCAGTGGAGATAAATGAGACTTGGACACTCTAACTCGAGTATGTGGGACTCAGCGAATTAAGGGACGTGTACTACCAATTCAATAACGGGCATGTCCTGTCAGTGTGGTGGTGACGTGCCAGGGGGGCTGGGGAGTGATGGGAGATGCCATTCTGTAAATCTGTCTCTTATTGGTTGTTGAATAAAGCACCGTTGGCCAATAGGGAAGTAAGATAGGTGGGACTAGGAGTCGAGCAGGATTCTGGGAAGGAGAAAAACAGGGAGTCATCATGTAGCCGCCATAGGGGTAACAAGTTTGGACCCTTTTCTCTGGTAAGAGAAATACTTAGATTAACAATTATGGAGTAAATACTTAAGTCAGAGCTAGCCAGTAAGAAACAAGCAAGGCCAACAGCTTCATAATTAATACTGCGTCTTGTGTGTTATTTGGGGACTACAACGTGGCAGAGCCCAGGCGACTGGTGGGAAAAAACCAAAGCAGCTGGCAAGGAAAAGGCTTCTGTCTACAGGAGAGGGTCAGGCAGTAACTATTTTTAGGTGTTAGGGTCCACTTGGCTTTGGTCACAACTCAACTCTGCCTTCGTAGGGGAAGCAAGCAGGTCTAAATGACGGCCGTATCCAGTGACCCGTAGTTTGCCACCTCTGACTGAGGGCAGAGATGGGAGATCCTTAGTTTGGTAAGCAAACGCATTATTAAGGCTTTGTGAAGGCAACAGAGGGTCCACAAAGATGCTCTCAGAGGGATGTCGGTCCCTCCTGGGCAGGCCTGGATCCCCCAGGGGTTTCATTCTTGCCTTAAACTAGGTGTTTAGCAACCCTGTAGAGAAAAGAGCTAACTGCGGGGAAGTGATGTCTGGGTAAATATCCCTGCTCATGAAGGTACACCTGGCTCCATTCGTGACAGCGCCAGAGGCTATCAAATCCTCGTTTGAGGGGCCGTGGCTCCCCAGTCTTCACTAATCAAGTGACAGGAGCCTTCCTCACATGTTCAGTCTATTATGTGCGTGCAGTCATGGCTTTACTCTAAGAAATCACTCCTTTTGACACATTCTATAATTCAAACATACATTTCACACCCTTCCAAAGGATCTGGAAGTGTCAGAGGAGGAGGCGAGGGAGCAATAATAAAGGAATAAAAAACAAAATTAGGGTGGGGCTTAAGTGTCCGTCATCCTCAAACTATGACCCTAATTTCACAATTTAATCAGATTGGATCAGAGACACCGTGGCTTTGTGAGTCTGCCCATTCTGCTTGGGGACCTCACAAACTCTCAGTGGAGGGAACGAACAAAGACTGGATTGTGGAGAGCTAATGATATTCCTCTCTGGTGTCTCTCTCAGGTACTTCGGGGGATATTTCTTTTTATACGCCCTCGGTTCTGCGAGGCAGGGTTCTGCCGTAGAGTGAAAGTTAGCCTTGAACTTACAGATCCCTGCTTCTACTTCCCGGACTGCTCGGATTATAAGCACGTGCTGCCCCTCTGACATTTCTGGGTATTTCTTTCGGTAACCAAAGGACAAACCTTGTCCACTAAGCTCTTCCCAACTCACTGAAACACCACAGGGGAACAAAGAGTAAAGGGGCCAAGAGTCAACCCTGGCCTCCTATAATGTCTTCCCAAACATGGCTGTGGATGGTATCTTTCCCTGTGTGAAATGTCTAACATTAGAGACTCGACGGTGTGAGGATGACTTGGAGTCCCCAGTGGTCCTAGAACAGGGGAGTCAGGGAGACATTGGGAGGAGGTAAAACGTGCAAGCAAGTTGGCAGTTTAGATGTTTGATAAATATCCCAGGACATGTGGCAGCTTGGTCGTTAGAGGCAAAGGGGACAAAGCAAAGCCAACAAGACAAGGACTTAGCCTTCGTTTTGAGACAGGGTCTCACAGAGCAGCTCTGGCTGGGCCAGAACCCCCTGTATAGACCGGATTAGCCTCCAACTCACAGGGCTCCACCTGCTCCTGTTTCCCCAGGGTTATGACTAAAGGCGTGTGCCACTACGCCGGGAGGGCGTGGCCTTTTTACCCGACTTCCTGGTAATCAAAAAGAGGGAACCCAGGTTCCTTCTCCATGGCTCTTACCCCTAAGTATGGGAGTGATAATCGTGGAGAGCAGGCTTCCAGCATTGATGGCCAAATAGAAGATGGAGAAGAACTGGTTTCTCTGCTTCTCCTGTCACGGAATGGACAAAGTTAGATTCTGACAAATGGGCTGGGGAATCCTGGGAGATGACAGAGCTCAGAGCTGGACTCACTTCTGATTCGGTTTGGTCAGTAGCCTACTTTCAGGCATCCCAGAGAAGAAAAGAACAGAGATCGGGACCCCTTCCAGAGACTTGACCACTAAGAGGGCCGTCGGTCATTAAACGGGGTTCCCGTAGAGTTTGTGCTCTTACCTGGCCCTCTTCAAACTGATCACCACCAAACGCAGACACGCAGGGTTTGATTCCTCCCGTACCAAAGGCTATCAGGATCAGGCCGATCATGGACAGAGCTCTGGGGAAAGGAGCGACTTAAGGGCAAGGTGGCAGGTCCTCAGAGGAAGGAGCCTCTCCCCATAGTCTGCCTACAAGGACCAGGCGCAGCAGCGGCAACAGTCGCATAGAGGTGCAACAGCCATCACGGAGAGGTGCAACAGCCGTCACTCAGATGTGCAAGTCATCACACAGATGTGCAACAGCCGTCACTCAGATGTGCAACAGTCACCACACAGATGTGCAACAGTCATCACACAGATGTGCAACAGTCATCACACAGATGTGCAGCAGTCGTTACACAGATGTGCAACAGTCGTCACACAGATGTGCAACAGCCGTCACACAGATGTGCAACAGTCACCACACAGATGTGCAACAGTCACCACACAGATGTGCAACAGTCATCACACAGATGTGCAACAGTCACCACACAGATGTGCAACAGTCACCACACAGATGTGCAACAGTCATCACACAGAGGTGCAACAGTCACCACACAGATGTGCAACAGTCACCACACAGAGGTGCAACAGTCACCACACAGATGTGCAACAGTCATCACACAGATGTGCAGCAGTCGTCACACAGATGTGCAAGTCATCACACAGATGTGCAACAGTCATCACACAGATGTGCAGCAGTCGTCACACAGATGTGCAACAGTCATTACACAGATGTGCAACAGTCATCACACAGATGTGCAAGTCATCACACAGATGTGCAACAGTCATCACACAGATGTGCAACAGTCACCACACAGATGTGCAACAGTCACCACACAGATGTGCAGCAGTCACCACACAGAGGTGCAGCAGTCATCAGTCACACAGAGGTGCAGCAGTCATCAGTCACACAGAGGTGCAGCAGCCGTTACACAGATGTGCAGCAGTCATTAATCACACAGAGGTGCAACAGTCACCACACAGAGGTGCAACAGTCATCACACAGATGTGCAACAGTCATCACACAGATGTGCAACAGTCATCACACAGATGTGCAAGTCATCACACAGATGTGCAACAGCCGTCACACAGATGTGCAACAGTCACCACACAGATGTGCAAGTCATCACACAGATGTGCAACAGTCACCACACAGATGTGCAACAGTCACCACACAGATGTGCAAGTCATCACACAGATGTGCAACAGTCATCACACAGATGTGCAACAGTCACCACACAGATGTGCAACAGTCATCACACAGATGTGCAACAGTCACCACACAGATGTGCAACAGTCACCACACAGATGTGCAACAGTCATCACACAGAGGTGCAACAGTCGTCACACAGATGTGCAACAGTCGTCACACAGATGTGCAACAGTCATCACACAGATGTGCAACAGCCGTCACACAGATGTGCAACAGTCACCACACAGAGGTGCAACAGTCATCACACAGATGTGCAACAGTCACCACACAGATGTGCAACAGTCACCACACAGATGTGCAACAGTCACCACACAGATGTGCAACAGTCATCACACAGAGGTGCAACAGTCATCACACAGATGTGCAACAGTCGTCACACAGATGTGCAACAGTCGTCACTCAGATGTGCAACAGTCATCACACAGATGTGCAACAGTCATCACACAGATGTGCAACAGTCATCACACAGATGTGCAACAGTCATCACACAGATGTGCAGCAGTCATCACACAGATGTGCAGCAGTCATCACACAGAGGTGCAGCGGCATCAGCAAGAGACGTAAATGCACAAGAACGCAGGCTGAGCGTTGAGTGAAAGCAACACCACGGACCTTCCGGTCATCGTCTTTATCTAATCATTTATCACCATGACACTGAAAGTAGCTTGAAATCCCCACAAAGATTTCCATGCGGACTTTTGGGGAAGCCTTATCAATTGTAATAAAAGAATGAGATATTAGTTAAGGGGCCAGGGGCCATAGCTCAGTGGTGGAGTAAATGTTTAGTATGCACGGTTTAGTTCTTGGCAGGCGCACACACACACACACACACACACACACACACACACACACACACCAATCAAAAAAACATCAGCCTCTCTGCTCTCTCTTGGGGACATGCAAGGAACAAGATAAGCCATCAGAGCATCTAATGGGCGGCAAACAGCGAGAGGGCGGGGCAGTAGCGGCCATTGACTCACACATGCACAGGAAGGCTGTCGGGAGTGCCGTTGTGGTCGTGGTCTGTAAGGTCATTAATGGAGCTCACCGCGATGACTGCTTGTCCGATAGTGTAGACGATGGATAATGAAATAATCGTCCTGTGTTCAGAAAGGTGAGAGAGACCTGGTTTAACTCCCCAATAGCTGATTGCTTCTGTTCTCTCTCCTACAAAACTCCACAGTGTCCAGTCACGGATCCACCCCGTTCTCAAAACCGGGTTAAAAAAAAAAAACGTGAACTCTCAGGACAGATGGCCTAGGAGCACAGAAACGGGAAACCCTACCTCTACCTTCCCTCCACCCCACGCCTCTGCTACCGCAGAAATTAGTGTTTATAGCACAGGAATTAGGCGGAGAGAATTCAGGGTGAGCCCGATAAAAAACACATCATATACATCTATGACATTTTCAAACAACTAAAAAAGACAGTTTCTAGTCTCCTGCCTGGTAGCAGTGGCTGGCCAGGAGCCGGCATGACTAACTCTACCGAGTTCTTTAAAAGAGGATGACTACTCTTGCTCCTGCCTATGCCTCACGTCTCCATTATCTGTAGAGCTCCAGGGGACGTTTCCTGGTAGGGCCCCCACGAGACGTCCTGCGACTGAGTGAATGCTCACAGTGGTTTCTCATCCACCAAGTCACACGAACCCTCCGCGGCGGCAAGGCTTCAGCCATAGGCAAGTCTTTGTCTTCCCAGCTCTGAAAGCCAGAGTCTCACGGGGGAGAGGTAGGGTCCCTGCCACTACTTCAACGTGATACGGTTGGGTCAGGGGGTTACGTGCAAAGAAACAGCGACAAAATTACAGGCTTCTTGAAGCCACGGTGCTCAGTGTCAGGAATAGGGCATCAAGCAGAAGCAAGGCCACAGACGCCCTACAAGTTTCTTTTCCTTTAGCCTCACTTCCCCTAGCCTGTCACAAGGCTCGCAGAGAACATCTCTACTTGTGTGGTGACAGAGTCCCCGTCAGTCACTCACTTGAACTTCCCCAGCCACGAGTCTGCAATCAGGGCTCCGAGAATTGGAGTCAGGTAGCACAGGGCGGCGAAGGTATGGTAGATGGCCGTGGACAGGTCGTCGTCCCAGCTGAGGAAGTTTCTGAAGTACAGGACCAGGAGTGCTTTCCGCCGGGGGGCGGCGGGAGAGAGGAACCAAGTCAGGGCTGGCCAAGAGAACCACGCTCTCACAGAAGGGCGGGGCGGGCCAGAAACTTACCTCGCATCCCATAGTAGGAGAATCTTTCACAGAACTCGTTGACCACGATGAAGAAGATGCTCAAGGGGTACCCAAAGCAACTCTGACGAAAAAGGAAACAATACCCAGACGTGCTCATCACCGGTCCACACCCACACACCAGCACAGGTCCCCACACACACTTCACAAGTTCTCAGTTCTGTTTGGACCCCAGGACCTTGAATTTTGCGATTCCTGCAGGCCCGCATCAGTCATGCCATGGAATAAATCAACCAGGCACGAAGCAGGAAACACCCAGCATTTCTTAAGGCGAGCACACCTCATACAGACCTCAGGACCACCCCTTATGCCCTGAGCACGTCGTGTGTCAAGAGAACAGAGCATTTGCAGCCACTGAGTAGCAACTAGACACTATATAATTCCCAGGGTGAAGACTCGGGACACGGACAAAGGATACTCACTCGTGACTTGGACATCCCTAAAAGAAAGACAAAACACCGGTGTTAAAGTCACCTCTGTCCCGGCTCCCCTGGCTTCTCCTAACAATTAGCTTTGGCATCCTCTGGGATCCCAGGCTGGGACTGTCACATCTGAGGAGGTCAGTGAGGGCTGACTTCCTCAGGCAATGCTTGTGATCCATTCAGAGTGAGAACAAAGCAGGGCCCAAACCATTTCCCCCTCAGAGGCTTCAAAGGCTGCCTCTGCCCAAAACCCAAGCACTCCAGTGCGTTCTTCACTGGGGTCCTCTGAGGGTTAAACCACTGAGGTGTAGCATGCCTTGGGTGCCTAATTCAGGGTTAGGACGCAACCCCTCTTTCCTGTTCCTAACCGTCTCTTCCCTCAGGCCCTTCTCCATGCAAACGACCCCGCAGTACCCAACGTTTGCTCACTGAATACACTGTGGTGTGTTCTCTCAAAGGTCATGTATCCCGGGAGATGGCTACCTGTTGCTGGGAGCCCTATGCACATCCTCCCCCCTTTAGTGTGCCCCTTCCCACTCAAGTTTTAGCATTGGTGGTCATGTATCACGGGAGATGGCTGCCTGTTGCTGGGAGCCCTACGCCCCTCCCCCGTTTACTGTGTCCCTTCCCGCTCAAGTTTTAGCATTGGTGCTGATATTCCCTTCGCACAGGATGGCATAATGGTGGTGGGTCGTTCACGTCCCTGCCTCCCCTCTAGACGGAGTCTGTCAGTGGAAGAAACACGCTACATGTCTTCACATCCCCCCCTCTTACAGTAGGTACTGTGAACACAGCTATTGTTAGAAGGACAGATTAGGAGATGGCAAACACAAAATAAGGCAGGAGAATTCAAACCTAGTGTAGCATTCTATCACCTGAACCTGAGGCACACCCTTCGGCCCCATGACCTCAGAAACAGAGACCCCTGCTCCGCCGTGTCCCTCCTCTGGATTTTAGGGGTGTCCCGCACCCTTGTCTCCGGTCTTCGCTAGACCTTCTCTGACTCCCATACCTACATACTGCTCCTTACTTATCGTTACCTGTCACCACTAGATCCCTTTTCGGGGGCGGGGGGAACCCACCCTCTTCCTGTCTCCCAGCCCCCATTGGTCTCGGAGTTCTCGGTTGTGGAGCTCCTTAGGCTTCCCCTGCCTCTGTGGGGAGCCAGCTCAGGAGTCTTGTTTGAAAGCTGGACTGTTCCTGAGGCTCTCCAGAGGGCTTGTGAGGACAGACAGTTGGCTGGGCGGGGGAATCAGAGCTGCTGACTCTGTAGGTCTGGCGGCTGCATTCCCAATCCAGTCGCAGGGTTGCATGCTTTGAAAACCGCTGCACTGGAGAATCCCGAGTAATCCGTAGGCCCCCAGCTGTGGCCCCCTGAGCCCTGACCTGCAGCAAAGCGAACCCTCCTGGAAACAGCTCTGCTGGAGCACACACTTGTCATTGTGGCCTTGTATCAAGACTCAAGGGGGCGGAATCTGCCTATCAAACGAGCTCCGAGGTGACGCGGTTGCTCACGCCGAGGAGCACGTGGAAGCTTGGTGTCCTGTTGCCTGAAAGATCTCCGTGTGTGGATCTGAAAGATCTCCACATGTGAATGAAGATGATCACTTCTGCGGGCCCTGAGAACTGGGGAGACCAGCCAGCTACCCAGAGCAGGAACCACAGGCAGAAGCTGGGCTGGTACTGACTTACGACTGCTCTGTGCCTCAGTCTCTTGCTCCTCATTCGCGACTCTTCTCCTCAGAGCTGCCATGTCGACTATCAGTCTGAGTAACTCCTAGATCCGTCCCGAAATAAGCAAAACCCCAGTTCTGCAAGAGCAACCTTTTTTTTTTTACCTAGACCATGTGGACCCCCCCAACAAACCAACCCCCCCACCATCACCACCCTGGCAGGCACATCTTTCCCCATTCCTGTCAGCGGAGCTGGGGCCCTTTCCACTTGCCCAGCTCAGCCATGACTCCAGGCGTCACACCGGATGGTCTTGCGGGGTTTTTTTCCCCACTTCAGAGTACGATTGATGTTATTTTAGTCCTTGCTCCAAGGAAGGAAATGACTCCTTCCTGATCTCCTAGGGCTCCATTTCCCAGATCTTCTTGCTGTTGGAGCTGGAGTCAAAGATTCCACACCATAGCCCAACGGGTTTGTCTTTCCCCCCCAGTAAAGAGTTCTTTGATAGAAGGGGTGGCTTCAAGGTGCTGTGCATAAAATGAGAGCCAAGGGTGAGACCTGAGGTTGGACCTCCTCACTGACAGCCGGCATCTGGGGGCCTGGGCAAGCCCAGATAACGGCATAGAGAGATGAAGGTAAACAGTTCTGCGTGCTTTCTGAGGCTGCTGCGAGAGCTCCTGAGGGGCCAACATGATGGCTCGGAGGGAAAGGGCACTGAGGCCAAGGCGTGAATCCATTAGGAGACCGAATTCCTCCAAGTTTTCCTCTGACTGATATAAACATGCATGTGCACATGAACACACACACACACTCACACACACACAGTGTGTGAATCCATTAGGCGTGAATCCATTAGGAGAACGAATTCCTCCAAGTTTTCCTCTGACTGATACAAACATGCATGTGCACATGAACACACACACACTCTCACACACACACACACAGTGTTAAAAAAAATATGAGAGTTTACGTGAAGGTTTCTCTCCCCAGCTTCAAGCATTAGTAAATCAGAGACACCACCGTCCTAGAATCTTCAACCTTGAATGACACTCTCCTGAGACATTCACCAAGTAGGTCCCCAAAGAGTCCACTGTCTCACTCTTCAAGTACAGCGTTCAGACCCTGACCCTGATACTACTTCATGCATGAGGCGGTCCATCTTAACTCCTGTCTTGGTTGGGTTCACGGTCACTATGGAAACACATCCTTATCTACTTAAACTTCAGAGAGTGTGGCCTCCCCGTGGAGAGAGGAGAGAGACTGATAACAGAGGCCCAGGATGTTCTCCTTCCGAGGGAGGGCAGCTAGCCCAGATTCCACAGAGCCAGAGTGAATTTCATCACAGCGGTGCCTCTCTCGAGGTGTCCCTAGCTGCTCTGGTTCACGGTGGGCGGGAGGGGTGGTGGGGGAGGCTGTGTCTCCAACAGCAGCAACAATGTATTTTTTAAATGTTACCTAGCACTGACGTTCATAAAATGTATATACGGTTACGGGGAACACTTAGCGGGCTGAGACCTTAGCTGACCAGTCATCACACCTAGAGTTTCATCATGAAAAAAGGAAGTGTCCAACCTCGCTAAAGCAAGAGCCTGAGAGGAGGGACCCGGCCATCCTTCGGGGAAGCATTTTGTGTTTTGAAAGGTGTGCATTCCCAAGAATTGCCTTTAGTATTCCGGGGCAGAGGTCGCTCAGCTCTTTTTATAGAATCCAGAGCTATCTGCTGGCCGTACACCAAAGTCAGCGTTTCTTATCTGAATGTACCTGTGTCAACAGGGCTGCTATCGTGGAGAGGCCAAGTGCAGAACCAGGGGCCACAGGTTGTGACTTGATGTGAACTCTGATTTCAGCTTCAGTGAGGCTTGTTTACTTTAGTCCATTGTGTGGTTGCTATCCTGGCTATTATGCGCAGTCAGCGTGCTGGAGTGACTCCATGTTTCAGGAACAGCTCCTAGACCTCTTGGAGATGTAAGTATGATCAGGGCCGTATCTAGATCCCATATTCCCTTATCTAGAAAGCACACGGTGGTGCCAGTGTGTCTAATCGCTGACCAAACATTGGCTTTGGCTATTATTACGTCTAATAGATTTTGACTTTCTACTGTTTAAAGATTTTAGACAGAATTTAGTAACAGTCAGCATGTGTTTCACATTTCTCTCAATACTAACTTTGGGATGCAGTACAGGGACAGAGAAGGGGGGAGGGAGGGAGGAAGTGAGGCTCAGGTGAGACCCATTGCTTAGAAACATTTCTCTGTCAGCAAGAACACTTCCTGTAGCTTATGCAGAGAGTATGTTAAACCACGTAGGGCTAGAATCCCTTAAGTGATGTTTTGTTATCTAAAAGTCAATACAGTGAGGGCTGCTCAATGGGGAATATGTTCTGAGAAACACATTTTGTCATTGATGACAAAGATCGTGATGACATTTTTCATCCTTGTTCAAACACCACGGAGTGTATTTACGGGAACCTGGGAGGAACAACCTATCAAAGGCCTGCAGTATAGTGGAATCCTATGCGCATGCTCCAGCCACGGTCAGAAAATCAGCTGAGATGACTCAGCAACACTCGGGGCCCCACAGTGCACTTCCAGAAGTTGGATTTGGGACCTTGGAAGATCAAAGCATTTGCCGAGGGTCTGGGAAAAGAACTCCTACTTTCAGATGGACTGAGAACTATTTCCTGCCACTTCTAAAAATGTCTGAATCCTGCCCTCGGCGCATCAGGCGGCTTTGCTGATATCATTGCAGATCTCGGACACGGGTTTTTATCTTGGGTTATTCAGTGGGTGAATACACCGTACAAAGACGAGATGATGATGGACCAGGGACTGTCCTTTCCATACGATTGACTGTCAAAGCAAGTGAAGTCAGGCGTGGTGGTCCCGGCACTGGGCAGGCAGATCTCTGTGAGTTCAAGGCCAGCCCTGTCTACCCAGTGAGTTCTAGGACAGCCAGTATTATGTAGAGAGACCCCGTCTTAAGCAAAAACAAACACCCCGAGAATAAAAAAGCTACCTAAATACTAAAAGATCAGCCCAGTGCTAGGGACCTTACCAAAGACTTGATTGGGCCACGGTTGATCTGAGTCCTGGCGGAAGTCTGTGGTCCTCTTGGGACACAGGAGGAGGAGAGGCCTGTGTTGAGTCCGTACCCCACGCACCTCCCGAGTCTTAACAGGTGCGATGGGCATCCATACAGGTCCTCAGGAGGTGGACATGGAGCATAAACCCACATAGCTGCTGCCGGGCTTCAGCTCCTCTGCACCGGCGCCACACCACTCGGTGCCATCAGCAGCCCCTGACGCGTCTGTGTTGCGGGGCAGACGCCAGGGCACTCTTGCTGTATG